ACTGGAACAAACACCAGACCCCCGCACTCCAACTGAAAAATTTCTAATCGAAACGAGAGCGTTAACTTTTCCTTTTTCCGCAACCAACGAAACCATTCTCGCAAGTTTGTCAAGCAAACTAACAATTTACCCCATCCCAACCCTAATCTTAATTTTGAGAAACAACCCAGCCGCCAGGAAAACCACGAAAACAATTCCCCTGAAAACAACCAAGAACCCAACAATAACAACGAGAACAGAGAAAACACCGAAAAAAACGATGGTTGATTAAATATCCCTTTTCCTGATTTGTTAACCCCAATTTTAGGTCTGATAGTCTTAATAATCGTAATTTATCTTTTGATAAAAATGGTGGGAAAAGTAATTAAACCAGAATAAAAAAATGTATAATAAATTATAAAAGAAAATCTCATGCCAAGCTTGAAAAGCCCAAATTCAAGTATTAACGAAAATCGTTTCTTGGTAATTTAAGGAACGGTGCTGATAAATTTTTACACAGAGTAATAATTCGCAAACATTTTAAGCGAAGAATTCAAAAAAATACAGTTGCCGAGGAGGGTCATAACTATAAAAATATACTAAAGGAGCCACATGATAAGAATAATAATCAAGGATGATAACAAGGATAAGGCTTTTGCCGACTTCAAAAAAATTAGTTTTTTTGCCTTAACCAAGTATCGCGAAAGGTTTTTTTTCAAAAAAAAAAAAAAAAAAAAAACAACTAAAATCTAGATAAAACGGAAAAATCTCTGGCTCGGATTGGGAAATCGTTAGCAGGCTTTTACGTAAAATACTAATTATGAAAAAAGAAATTATTCGCCGAAGCAACGTGCAATTGCCTTGCGGGCAAGCACGACCCGGAGCCAATTTGTCTTTTTTAAAGAACATGGCTCTTTTTTGTCGAGAGTTCAACGAAAAAACTCAAAAACTAGAAAGTGGAAAAATAGTAAGCGTGGAAATAACGGTGTTGAAAAATAGTTATCAATTTCGTCTTAAAGGTCGCGTAAGTTCAGATTTAATTAAAGAGACTATTGGAGAAAAAAAGGAAATTACGCCCTCCGAGTTAGAAAAAATCGCCCAAGAAAAATTAATTTACTTAAATACTGATGATTTAGAGCAAGCCAAGAAAATTATCGCTGGCACAGCCCAGAGTGCGGGAATTAAAATTATTTAGTTTTCTAGTAAAAGAGAAAATATTCATGGAATTAAATTGCAATTGTCAAAAAAAACCGAATTTGAAAATGGCTCTACCGAGCATTACTTTTGGTATTAGCGGCGAGTAATTTGGTGCGTCTAATTATAGTTGTATAGAAGCAAAAAAAAATAGCAAAAAAAGCTGAGAACGACTTTAAATTGTGCCCAACAATAAACAACGTTACAATGGCAACTTTTTGGCAATTAATTCGTTGCCTAAATCTCACTTAAAAAAGCATTAGAGTTTAGGGAATCGCTGTTATACTTTATAATTTAGAAGGCGGGGAAAAACGCTCTATAATTTTTTAATCTTTTTCTCTGCTAGGTGAGGTGACCGGATCTGTTTTTTTTTTTTTTTTGAAATAGTAATATAAAATTGAGGGTCAGGTTAAAGGTGAGCAAACGAAACTTCCTAATGATTTTCACCAGGAGAACTTTTCGGCAATTTTAACTAACCGGATGGTGATTACGGGGTCGGTGGTGCTGGGAACAATGCTTTTTTGGGACAGAATTTGTTGTAGAAAAGCGATTATGTCGGAGTAAGCCATGTCTGAGATATTAAGAGAGAGTTCGACATGGTCGGCTTGGGGATAAACTTTAAACTCGACCCGATAGCCTTTGGCTTGGAGTAATTCAGCACTTTCCCGACCTTTTTCGCACGGAACTACTCAATCCTTTTCGCCGTGTAACATGAGAATAGGAGTAGTTTGGTTAAAATTTTTTTCTGCTTTTTGGAGAAATTTATGATAAGGCAAAAATCCGGCCAAACTAATAATTCCTCCTAATTGATATTGGGAAAGAAAAGCCATACTCAAAACTACCGAACCTCCTTGGGAAAATCCGAGGAGGAAAATGTGTGAAGACGGAATTCCGTTCGCTATTTCGGCAGCAATTAACTGTTCGAGGGCAACTACGGAGTCTAGCAGACCACATTCTTCTTCTCCCTCAATCAATTGGCTCCGTGATTCTATATTATATCATCCCCTTAAAAAGAGCGGAAAACGATAAGTTTCGTGAAAGTTGAAACGGATGATTGGGGCTTGGGGCAGAATAAACTTGATATTATAAGACAAGAGCTCGCCAAGTTCTTGGACGGCTGTCTCCCATAATTGGGCTATTCCTCCTAAACCGTGGAGACAAAAAATTACAATTTGGTTGGACATGAGAGTAAATTTTAATGCTGGGGTTTTTAATAAATCTTTTTTCGGGTTTAAACTTGTTTGTTTGTGGCTCTAGCTTCTCGTTAAGAAACCCCACCCGTCCGGAAAAAGGCATTAGAAAAGTAAAAAAAACATTCGGCCAGTTGCTTAGGTAGTGTTTTGTTGATTATTAAGTATGAAATAGCGGTTCCTGGTTGGCATTAAGAAAATTCAGACGAGAATTTGTGCCGACTTGATTAATGCCGAGCTTGCTTGCTCTGGTCTGTTTTTCATTTAGTTACTGAATATTTAATTTGCCCCCAAGTCCAGAACTCCGAACTCACCCCAAACGCTCATCTTAAAATAAAATAAGAGCCGGTTTGGTAGCTCAGTTGGTTAGAGCGTTCGACTGAAGCTCGAAAGGTCGGCAGTTCGATTCTGCCCCAAACCACCATAAATTAAAAAAACAGTTATGCCAATAAAAAATGAAAATAATTTTAAGATGGGGAAAGCGAAATTAATCGAGCAAACCTGAGAACGATTAGGAAAAAAAGTTACTCAAGCACAGTTAGCTGAAGAAATTAACGCCTTTCTTGAAACAATAGAAGAAAACTTAGTTGCTGGTAATGAGATTTCTTTGCTGAAGCGGTTTAGTTTTTATACTGTTTGAACCCAAGAAACAGTTAAGCCTAATCTTCGCAAGCCGGGGGAAAGTATCACCGTTCCCGCCCAAAGACGCGTCAAACTTCGGGTCTCGGACGAGTGAAAAAGAAAGTTGAACCCAATTTTACAAGTCGTTAGTGACTTGAAACGAGCCCAGAACTTGTCTGAGTTAGAAAAAATTTACAAAACTCTCAGTCGACAAGAAGTTTACAAGAATAATAAAAAACACATCGACCGGGTTTATAGCAGTTGCGAGACTGGTTTCGTTGGTTGCGGAAAAAAGGAAAAGTTAACGCTCTCGTTTCGATTAGAAATTTTTCAGTTGGAGTGCGGGGGTCTGGTGTTTGTTCCAGT